GGAGGCTGCTCAGCCCCCTGAGTAGGCAGCCCCTCTCTCCAGGGAGGTTAATGACGCCAGAAGCCTGAGGGTGCAGCTGCGGGTGCAGCACCTCTATTACCACGACAAGCTGCTGCCGGTCAGCCGGATCCTTACTCACCCCAAATACTACACATTTTGGAACGGGGCTGACATCGCCCTGCTGAAGCTCAAGGACCCTGTGAACATCTCCAGCCATGTTAAGGTGGTCACCCTGCCCCCCGCCTCGGAGACCTTCCCCTCAGGGACCGTGTGCTGGGTGACAGGCTGGGGCGATGTGGACAATGGAGGTAAGTGTCAGGGACAGCTGAGGTGCTCAGGGGAGCTGGGACCAGTAACACCCATGACCCAGCTCTGGGGTTCCCATGGGGGATGGGGCCTGACAGCTGGCTGAGGGCTGTGATTGCCTCCCCGCTGACACTGCGTGCTCTCCTCTCACCCCACAGTACCTCTCCCACCACCATTCCCCCTGATGCAGGTGAAGGTCCCCATTGTAGAAAACGGCATTTGTGACACAAACTACCACACTGGCCTGTCCACGGGGGACAATGTCCAGATTGTCCGTGATGACATGATGTGTGCAGGAATCACGAACAAGGGTGTCTGCCAGGTGGGCCCGTGTCCTCACCACAGCCCCCACCAGCCCTGGCCTCGCGAGCCACTGCTGACCCCTCTCCTCCCCAGGGCGACTCCGGAGGGCCCCTGGTCTGCAAGGTCAACAACACCTGGTTACAGGCAGGTGTGGTCAGCTGGGGCAAAAGGTGTGCCCAGCCCAACGGACCCGGCGTCTACACCCGAGTCACCTACTACCTGGAGTGGATCCGTCAGTATGTCCCGAAGAAACCCTGAGCCTGTCCCTAAGGCTGCCGCTGGCATCTGTAGAGAAGCCAGGTCCCTCCTGTCCCCTCACCACTGCTTCCTGCCCAGGTGGTGATCTTCCCATCCTCCCTGTCCCCTGCCCTGTCCCCTGCCTCTCCAGCTCACACACTGATCCTCATTAAAGAGCATAGAATACACACGTGGCTGGGCCCTGTGTCTGATTGTGGGCATCACTGAGGGGCAGGGAAGGGGTTCCGGGACAGCCCGGCACAGCCACTGTCACTGCGGGGTGCCCAGCCTGAGCTCCAGGTGTTGCTGTGAGGATGGTCCCTTTTCCAGGCTCTGGTGCCCGGGTTTGTGTCTCTTGGGTGAGTGGTCACGTGTATTCGGGACACAGAAAGCAACACAGACCATTTAAAAGATTCTACTTTGAGCTCTGTGCAACAGCAGTTCGAGTCCCGCCCGAGCTGAGCAGCCACTGAGCTGCCAACAGGTGGCAGGATGGCTCAGCTAAAAAAATAAAATAAAATAAAAATAAATAAAAGATGATTCTAGGGTTGTCAGGTACCCAGCAATGGGGTCACGATACACAGCGTTGTTGCCCACACCCCATGTCCGTCTAACCATGCAGCACCCCCCCACACACATAGCACTGTCCCCTGCACCCCTGCCTCTCTCAGGCCACACTGCGCATGTGCACATGGGAATAGTGTGTCTGCCTAATTTCCCCATTTCTGTGACTGATCAATTGTAACACTTTGGAGCCTTGCGCTTCACTTGACACCATGTTGTGCTGTTCTCCCATGGCTGTGTGTAGCGAGGTCACCATTTCTCACCGTTGTGTTGGCTCCCAGGGGGAGTCTAGTCCAGTGTCCAGACTGCCACAGGGGACTTGGGGTGTCCCCAGTCAGGGCCTTAGGACCTGGTAGCCCGGATGATCCTGTGCACACACCTGGAATGTATGCGGCATGTGCCACTGAGGGGTCTGCTGAGGCCATGGGGTCCGCGCACCCTCCATTTCCGAGATGCCAGGTGGGTTTAGCAATGGGGTTGGTGCCACGTCACTTCCAATTCACCATTCTGGTAGGGGAGGATGGCATCTCATGAAGTTCTTAATTAGCATTTTTATCATTTTTGATTGGGGGAGCCCCTTTCTCAGTCGGGGCTCTTGCCCTTGGTAGGACAGGGGACAGCTGTCCACCTTCAATAGCAGGGACGGTGTCCTCAGGGGCATGGTAGAATCCACGCCCAAGGATTCTACCATCTTGGATGGTCCAGTCATTGGGCACCTTTTCCCGTCAATGCTCACGGCAACAGGTCGGGTGGTTTTCTGCATCAGGCTGCTGTGCATTTCAGGTTGTCTTGTGGGCAGATTCCCACAGCCCACAGCTCCGCTCCCCACAGTGCAGACTGGGTTCCAAGTGGGAATGGCCTCGCCCCCACTCATCCTGCGCCCTCACTGCTGTGGAAACCATGGTGGGGGGGAGGTTGTAACCCTCTTTATTTTCATCTGTATTTATTTTACTGTAGCCGTAACACATGCTCATCCTAGCGTGTGAAAGACAAGATGAGGATGCCTTTATCACCACTTCTATTCAACACGGTATTGGAACTCCTAGCCACAACAATCACACAAGAGAAAGAAATGAAAAGCATCCAAATTTGAAAGAAAGAAGTAAAACTCTCCTTACTTACAGATGACATGATACCATACATAGAAAACCCTATTGATGCCACCACCAATTAGAACTAATAAATGACTTCAGTAAAGTAATAGGATATAGAATGATGATATGGAAATCTGTTGTATTTCTATACACCTATAATGAATGATCAGAAGTGGAAATTAATAAAACAATTCTGGGGCCAGCCCTGTGGCTCAGTTGGTTAGGAGTGTGGGCTCTGAGCAAATGGGTCACTGGTTCGGTTCCCACATGCGCCAGTGAGCTGTGCCCGAGCTGAGCTGCCGCTGAGCTGCCAAAAGGTGGCAGGATGGCTCAGCTGGTGAGAGCACATGCTCCTAACGGCAAGGTTGCTGGTTCGACTCCTGCATGGGATGGGGGGCTGTGCCCCACTACAACTAAGATTGAACACAACACCTTGAGCTGAGCGGGTCAGCAGGCCGGACGGCAACCGGACTTGGAGCTGGGCTGGCTGCGCTCTCCACAGCTAGGATTGGGGGACAACAACTTGGCTGTTTCCCTTCTCCAATTCCCCAATAAAATCTTTACAAAAAAATTCCATTTATAATTGCATCAAAAGGATAAAATGCCAAGACGTAAATTTAATTAAAGTGGTGACAGACCAGTATTCTGAAGAGTGTAAGACAATGAAGAAAGAAATTAAAGAAGATACAAATAAATGGAAGGATATACCTTGCTCATGGATTGGAAGGATTAATATTGCTAAAATGTCCTTACTACCTAAAGCAATATGCAGATTCAATGTAGTTCCTATTAAAACACCAAGGGTATTCTTCTCAGAATTAGAACAACCAATTCTAAAATTTATATGGAACCACAAAAGACCCTGAATAGCCAAAGAAACCTTAAGAACAAAGTGGGAGGTATCATGCTCCCTGTTATCAAACTACACTATAAAGCTACAATAATCAAAACAGTTGGGTACTGGCATAAAATCTATCTATCTATCTATCTATCTATCTATCTATCTATCTATCTATCTATCTATCTATTCATCCATATATCAATGGACTAGAATAGAGAGTCCAGAAAATAATCTTCACTTATATGGTCAGTTAACCTACCAAAGGATATATAATGGGGTGAAGACAGTTTCTTCAATAAGTGGTGTTGGGAAAACTGGACAGATACATACAAAAAATGAAATTGGACCACTTTCTTACACCATATACAAGAATAAACTCAAAATGAATTGAAGACTTAAATGTCAGACCTGAAACTGTAAAACTCTTACAAGAAAACATAGGTGATAAACTCTGACATTGATGTCAGCAATACATTTTTGGATTTTTCTCTTTGGGCAAGAGCAACAAAAGAAAAAATAAACAAATGGGACTACATCAAACAAAAACGTTTTTGCACAACGAAGGAAACCATCGACAAGACAAATAGACAACCTTTCGAATGGGAGAAGATATTCACCAATGATACATCCAATAAGGGGTTAATACCCAAAATACATAAGGAGCTCATACAACTTAACACCAAAACAAAAAAACAAACAACCCTCCCCCCAAAAACAAAAACTAAACTCCACAACAATCCAATTAAATAAAATGGGCAGAGGACCTGAATAGACGTTTCTCCTAAGAGGACATACAGATGGCCAACAGACACATGAAAAGATGGTCAACGTCACTAATCACCAGAGACATGCAAATCAACACCACAGTGAGATACCACCTCACACCTGTCAGAATGGCTACCATCAAAAAATTAACAAACAGTGTTGGCGAGGATGTGGAGAAAAGAGAACATTGATGTACTATTGGTGGGATTGTAAATTAGTGCAGCCACTACAGAAAACACCGTATGAAGATTTTTAATTTTTTTCTCAAAAAATTAAAAAAAGAGCTGCCATATAACCCAGAAATAATAATTCCTCTTCTGGGTACGTAACCATAGAAAACAAAAACACTAATTCGGAAGGCTATATGACCCATGTGTTCATTACAGCATTACTAATAATAGCCAAGTTATGGCAGCAATAATCCATGAGCAAGGTATATCCTTCCATTTATTTGTATCTTCTTTAATTTCTTTCTTCAATGTCTTACAGTCTTCAGAATACAGGTCTGTCACCACTTTAATTCAATTTATGTGTTGGCATTTTATCCTTTTGATGCAATTATAAATGGAATTTTTTTTGGTAAAGATTTTATTGGGGAATTGGAGAAGGGAAACAGCCAAGTTGTCCCCCAATCCAAGTCATGGGAGCTACTGATAACTTGGTTATCAGTAGATGAAATGGATAAAGAAGATACAATGGAATATTATTTAGCAATAAAAAAAATGAAATCTTGCCACTTGTGACAACATGGTTGGACCTAGAGGGTGTTATCCTAAGAGAAATAAGTCAGAGAAAGACAAATACCATATGATCTCACTTATATGTGGAATCTAAAAAATAAAAGAAATGAATAGAAAAAAACAGAAATAGACCCATAGATATAGAGAACAAGCTGATGGTTGTCAAAAGGGAGGGGGTAGAAAGAAGGGAATTAAAAAGAAAAGAGGGGGCCGGTCGGTGGCTCAGTTGGTTAAGAGCACGAGCTCTGAGCAACAGGGTTGCCAGTTTGATTCCCACATGGGCCAGTGAGCTGCGCCCGACCTGAGCGGCCGCTGAGCTGCCAACAGGTGGCAGGATGGCTCAGTTGGTTAGAGCGCATACTCTTAACAACAAGGTTGCCGGTTTGACTCCCTCATGGGATGGTGGGCTGTACCCCCCCAGCCCCCCTGCAACTATTATAGATTGAAAGCGGTGACTGGACTTGGAGATGTGCTTGCGCCCTCCACAACTAAGATTGAAGGACAACAACCTGACTTGGAGCTGATGGGTCCTGGAAAAACACAATGTTCCCCTTCCCCAATTCCCCAATAAAAATCTAAAAAAACAACAACAAAGAAAAACCAGTTAAAAAACACAGGAAAGAAAAATTACGAAAAAAAAAAAAAAGGGCAATTTGGCCACAAAGGAAAAAAAAAAATCAAAAGCTTCATGGAGGAGGGGCCCTTGAGCGGGATTCCCACGCCTCACCCCAGCGTCGCGGGAGGATGACTCTCTCCAGGCTTGAGAGATGGTCGGAACAGAAATAGGCCGGTGAGAAGAGGCAAGGCATGTTGTAGGGATGCTGTCCCCATAGGGAAGGAAGGGGAAACTAATTTGGCTGGAGAAGAGGGGGAATGCACGTGGATTAGAGAGAGAGAAAGCCAGAGAGTACACACACACTCAGGGCTGAGCTTCTGCTGTCATGTTCTGCTCCAAGATCCCTAAATATCGCTAGTATTTTTTTTTTAAACCACAGAAATCAAAGGCACACACTCCTGTGTTCCCAGAGATCCTCTTTTGAGTCCCTTGCTGGTGGCGAACCTATGGGTAGGCACATATTTGGCTTCCTTTCCTTCACATCATTTTCCACTACTTACATATTAGAGATTCCTTGGAACTCAGTGTTAGGTCACATTACATTTTTTTAAAAGGGTGCAAAAAAACCAGAAGCCCACTCCCGGCTGAACCCAGAGACATTTTTCCCCTCCCTGGGAAATTGGGAGACATATCTGTGTCTTTTCTGAGACTGGCAGTCTTCCCCCACGTGCACACAGCTCTCCCCACACACATTTTGCAAAACCTTCTTCAAACCTCAGGCTCTCCTGGATGACTGCTTGAAGGTGGTCTGCAGGCAGCATGGCAGAGGGATGCCAGGCTCCCAAAGGGCCATGAACAGGGGCCAGGGAAGGACCCAGGGAACACCCCCCACCCAGGTCTAAGACCTGGAACACCACAGGCTTTCAGGGACCACCCACTCCACATGTTCCCAGATGAGTCCTGCCCTTGGAGGCTGTGGTCAGGGGTGACCACACATTTGGCTCTTCCAGATGACAACATATTCCCTGGAGAAGGCTGGGTCCCCAACAGTCCCGTGGCCCTCTGACAGCCCTGCCCACCTTCTTGTAGCCAGAACTTTCTTTAGCCTGAAATTGGAGCCTTCGTTTCAGAGTTAGTAGCTGTGGGAATCACAGGGGCAGGTGTCATCAGTCTCAGGTGCTGGGATCCAGGCCCATGGGGGGCATCTGTCACCTCCCCTGGGCGATTGGTACCAGGAGAGCAGGATCATGGGCTGGGGGAGGTGACGCAAGGCAGAGGAATGGCAGCTGCTGGAAATGCACCCCCAACTCAGCATAAAGACACTTCCCTGAAACCCAGGCCAGGTTGGCGCCCCGCTCCTTGACCTTTTCTTCCTTTATTGTATCTATCATTCTCTCTAATATCCATCATGACCCACATCCTTCACAGCAGCACACACTCCCGGAGGCTGTCCTCTGCCTGTGCAGGCCCCAGCCCTGCCCACTCTTGGGGAGGCTGTGTCTTGTTATGAGACTGACCATAAGCTACCAACGGCCCCACTGAAAGGAGGAGACCTGTTTGGCCACAGCACGGGACCCGGAGTAGAGCTGGCTGCTCGGTGCCCACTTCCTGTGTTAAAAGGATATATGAGGCCCTGGAGGGGTGACAGGGAGGGGTAAACCAGAGAGACGGCACTGAAGGAGCAGTTCGCGCCCATCTGAACATACGCCCGATCCTCAGGCCCCAGGTCCTGGGAGCTCGTGCTGGGATCCAAGCTCTCTCCCTCCAGGGGCCCCGTGCAGATGCTGTGGCTGCTGTTTCTGACCCTCCCCTGCCTGGGGGGCTCCATGCCCATGACCCCGGGTGAGTCCTGACTCCATCCTGTGCTTTTGGGGCTCCCAGGACCAGCCCTAGGGGACTGGGGGGACCATCCCTTGTGAAAAGCTTCACCTGTCCCCGAGCTCTGGGCCCTGATGGCCCTTCTACGTGTTTCCTCAGACCCTGGCTCAGGACATGAGCTGGTGGGCATCATCGGGGGGTGCGATGTCTCAGCCAGGAAGCATCCGTGGCGGGTCAGCCTGAGGTTCTTCAATATGAACCATGGCCTGTGGCAGCACGAATGTGGGGGCTCCCTCATCCACCCCCAGTGGGTGCTGACTGCCGCCCAATGTGTTGCGCCGTGAGTAGTGCCCATTCCCGCCTCCATCCCCATGGCTGGGTCCAGGGGTGTGGGGGCAGAGGTGGGGAACATGTGCTGTGTGCAGGGTCCTCTGCAGGAGGTGGGCTTCCTGGGGGCCCTTCCCCAGCTCTGACCCCCTACGCCCCAGCCTCCTCTGAGAAGCTCCTGGTCTCTGTCCCCCAGGGAGGACTTGGAGGCTTGTAGCTTCAGGGTTCAAGTCGGGCAGCTGAGGCTCTATGACCACGACCAGCTGCACAAGGTGGTTAAGATCATCCGCCACCCCAACTTCAACTACAGCCTGTCTGCCAAGGGGGGCTCGGACATCGCACTGCTGAAACTGGCGGCCCCTGTGCCACTCTCAGAGCTCGTCAGCCCTGTCACCCTCCCGTCTGCTGAACTTCAAGTTCACCCGGGGACAATGTGCTGGGTGACTGGCTGGGGTGACATCGCAGACAACTGTAGGTATTTGGGAGGCTTGGTGAGATAATGAGGGCTGGGCAGCGGGGTTTTTACAGAAAGTGGCTCACACTGTAAACTTTTGGGGTCCCCGGCGTGGGTGCGACACCTGGGATTTAGGCAGGAAGTTTCTGGGACAGATGCCGGGAACTGGGCACTTGCTCCGGGTGGCCCTGGGCAGGCCGTTCTGGGTTTCGATTCAGACCACAGCCTGAGGGCAGATGGCATCGTCCTGTCACAGCAGAGAAAGTCTGGGGTCCAAGATCCCAGGCTACCCTGTTGCTGAAGCAGAATTTGCACGGGGTGCCCGTGAGTCCTAATGCAGCTGCCAGGAGAAAACTCTCTCCTCGGTTGTTCTGTCCTCAGGCCCCTGGAGCCCAGACTCTGGCCGATGGAGTCCTGAGTCCCGGAGCTGGAAGGGCATCTAGGCTTTTGGATGCTGTGTGATCGGACCCCTACCGTAGTGGACGTGGGGGAGCTCAGTCCCAAATTCCCGGGTCAGGGCCCCCAGAGGGGCTCCCCATACCCTCTGCTGATGGCCAGGCGTGGCCCAGGAATGAAAGCAGTACCCGTGCTGCTGGGGAGAAGCAGGGGCTGGGACCAGCCCTGGTTCTCAGCCAGCCCCTCCCCACAGCGCAGCTGGCCCCGCCCTACTACCTGCAGGAGGTGACGGTCCCCATTGTGGGGAACCAGGTCTGTGACCAGCAGTACCAGGAATCCTTTTCACATGACAATGACCAGGCCATCAAGGATGATATGCTGTGTGCCGGGAGTGAGACCAGCGGCTTCTGCCAGGTGAGACTCCCCGTCCCCCGTCTCCTCTGGACCCACCAGACCTGTTGCCTTGAGAAGCACATGCTGACTCTTGCTTTTCCCCACAGGGTGACTTTGGGGGCCCCCTGGTGTGCAACTGGAATTGCACCTGGGTCCAGGTTGGGGTCGTGAGCTGGGGCCAGCCATGTGGTTGCAGTGACTTCCCTGGGGTGTACGCCCGAGTGACGAGCTACGTGCCCTGGATCCAGCAATATGTCCCTCTGCTCTCCAGGCCCTAGACGGGGCCGGGTGGGGTCTTTATAATGGGGAGACCCTCAATCCTCCTTGTCTCTTGGGATTCTGTTTTTCCTGGGGGGGGGGAGCAGGTGTGGGGCCCCAGAGGTGGAAAAAAATCCCAGGAACCACAGATGATGGCTTGTGATTTGATTCTCATTAAAGGACGTGGGAAAATTGCTTCGAGGCTGCTGTGTGCTAGATTGTGGTGCATCTGGGGACCCTGGGGGGGGGGTGCTGTTTGGGCATTGGTTGGCTGGGGCTGCTGCTGGGGTCCCTGGTGCTGGCATCTTCAGGCCAGGAGATGGGTGGCCCCCTGCCTGTGAGCACAGGTGCTCCATGCTCCTCTCCCTGCAAGTGTCTACCACAGGAAGTGCTGTGTCTCAATTGTGGCTTCAGTCTCAGACCCACAGACTTCCTCTCACCTTCCTTGTCCTGCCCCCCCACTTCCAGAGCCCCCTCATGGTACTCACCAGGCACTGTCCCTTCTGCCACAGACCTCCTGGTTCAGCGCAGCGTGGATGCGAGGAGATGGTGCAGGACGGTGGTGGGTGGTGCTGGAAAGACCAGACCCAGTGGGATTCCCACAGGTCCTGTTTCCCCAGGTTCTTTCAGACAATCCCCTCCTCCACTCCTGGAAGATGCTATAGACGATCTCCTCCCTTGAGGGCACCAGATTGTCTTTCTGGATTTTGAAAGTCCTGTCTGACCTAAGTCAAATGTCCCTGGTTCATTCCACAAATGGGTCCTGTAAGCCTTGACCCCTAAAGCCCTTCCTGTGGGGGCAGTATCGGCCCAGAACGTTCCCCGACAACTTCACTGGGAAAACAGTGGCTTCCATTGTGCCTCTGGATTTTCTGGCTGTTTGTGACGTGATGTGTCCCACGTTTGGCCACCTTGGACACTTGGCCGAGGGCATTCAGAGGTGCCTCTGAGTGACACTGGGGGTCACTCAGGGTCTGTGGGAGCGAGCCCTGGGGATGGCAGGAGCCCAGTGGGGAGGGAGTGCGGACTCCAGGTCCCTGCTTCAAACTCTGCTCTGTCTCTACCTGGCCCCCAACAACACCCCTTTCCCCTGACCGCAAGGGAATCCCATGAAGAATCAACTTCCGTGGAAAAGAAACTGCTCCCTGGGGTTCTGTCCCTATGTCTTCCTGAGGCCTGTGATGGGGCTGGGCACAGGCTGGGTGATGCTCGTGGCTGCCCAGCATCTGAATGACCTCCGAGCGCTGAGCCCATAGGTGGGGGTGGGGGTCCACATGGGACAGACAAGGGTCCCAGTCTGTGATCCTGAGGCCCGTGGTGTTGGGGAAGAGAAGGGGCCTTAACACTCATTGCTTCACCCATGCGTCTCTATGTCATTGTCACGGAATGGTCAGGCAGAGTGGTGGTTTGGTATTAGGTGGCACTGGGTTGCCGCCACCTCCACCCCCGCATTGCAAGTCAAAGCCTAAGGGCTCAAAAGCCTGTTAGTGCCCGTGATCATCCCCCTGCCTCTCTCAGTATTACCCGCTCCCTGATGTCCTTTCCCCCTCTTCCCACTGTTGGTAGTTGTGACCTCAATGCTACCCACTCCCACTCGTGCCCCAGGTGCGTGGCTGAGCCTGGGGCTGGGCCTCCCCCCAGGACAGGGTGGAGGTGGCCCCAGACCACCTTTGCTGACACTCAGGTTCTCAGAGGGATAACCCGGCTTCCGGAAGGGGGAGAGGGAGGCGCAAAGAAAAGACTCACGTCTGACATCCTGCCGAGAAAGAGGCTGTTTACAGAGGCCACTACAGATCCGGACATCTGTGGAAACAGAGTCGATTAGTGATTGCCCAGAGCTGGGGGCGTGGTGGCAGGAGTCGGCTGTGACAGTGAGAGAGCTCAGGCGTTCTCTTCAAGGTGATGAAAATGTTGTAAAATGACTGTGGTAATGGTGGCACATTTGTGGAAGTCCTAAATCCCACTGACTTGTACACTTTAAATGAGTGAATTGGATGGAGTGAAACTCTATCTCAATAAAGCTCTTTTTAAAAAACCCAAATAAACATTAAACTGAAACAAACATTGTTAACGAGCCCAGAGCTCTCATTCTCCTGGTTAATTCCCAGCTGTAAATCCACAACACATGTCTGGAGATGCTACTGAGATGCCCGTGTCCTCAAACATGGGGAAATCCAGGGCACCCCCCTCTCTGCCTCAGGACTTGGGGTCTTCAAAAGAGACAGTGACCGAGTCTGCAGCAGGACCCCACTGGGCGTTAGTCACAATTTAGGGGCCCACTGTCCAGCCCCTCCCAAGTTTGGGGAGCCCCCTGTTAGGGGTCCTTGCAGGGTTGCTTGTCCGCCTTGCCAGCGTGGGTTTGTCACAAGACCTGGATGAGAGCGTGGGAGGGACCGGCTGTGTTGGGAGAAGGGTTGCTGGGGCTGGAGAAGGATGGAGGTATGGAGGTCAGCTGTGGAGGTCAGCGGCAGCCCTGCAGGCGCCTGCAGTGTGACAGCGTGACAATGTGATGGGGGCAGCTTCTGGTGCCCATCCTCCTGTCCCCTTGTCCTCACATCCCAGTTGTTCAGTGCAGAGTAGGGAGCCACCTGGGGTCATGATGACCAAACACTCAGCTTGTCTCCTTCGTCTGGGGAGCTCCACCCCAAGCCACAGCACCTCTGCAACGAGGCCCTGCTGGCCCAGGGCACACAAGTCCCAGACAGAGGGAGGAGGGCTCCAGGTATGGCTGCGCTGGGTCTCTGGCCAGGCGCCTGCCCCACGGCCCTCACTGGCTCAGGCCTGGCTCCCGGAGCTCTCCACGTGGGGAGTTCGTGGTCCCACAAGGCCTACCCTCCATCCCAGGACGACTGGTGGTCCAGAGGGGAGGTGTGGACCTGGGGCTGGAGAACCAGCTCGGCCTTGTCTTAGCTCTAGACGCTGTGTCAGAACGCCCTGGCTCCTTGGACAGTCCTTCCCTGACACAAGGGTACCTCTTGTCCTTACTACACTCACCACTGTGAGATGCCTGATTCACCCTGAGTGAGGATGGCCTTTGTCCGCTTTGGCTCTGTGTTCCAGCACCCAGGCCTGGGCCCAGTGCATAGTAGGTCCTCTGCAAATGTTGATGGACTGACCACTGGCACAGGGAAGCCCTGCCCGCACCCTCCCAGGGTGCACCCTCCCTGTCCTCAAGGCCCTGCCTCCAGGCGTTCATGCTCCACCCACTTCCTGGGCTGGGAAGGTAAAGAGCCTCAGAGTCCCTGGGAGCAGAGGGCAGAGAGACCTGGCACGGTGAGGACACCACTCAGAACACTGCCCTCTCCATTCCTAGTCTCTGGGGTCCCTGCCCCAGTTCTCCTCACCCTGGTCCTCCACTATCCCCCCCGCAGATGCTGTGGCTGCTATTCCTGACCCTCCCCTGCCTGGGGGGCTCTGTGCCTATGATCCCAGGTGAGTCCTGACCCCATGCAATGCCCTTGTTGTCCTGAGACCCATCAGTGGCCTCAGGCCAGCACTGACCTGGGGTGGTGACCCCCACATGAGGATGGCCCTGGGGAGGGACTGAGTATGAGAGCTGTGCTGAGCTTTGGGCAGGGTTGCCTGGGTCCCTGAGGGCTCCTTCTCTGTTTCCCCAGACCCTGGCCCAGGGGCTGACCTTGTGGGCATCGGCAGGGGGCATAATGCCCCTCCCGGGAAGTGGCCATGGCAGGTCAGCCTGAGGGTCTTCAACAAAGAACATGGCCGGTGGCAGCATGAATGTGGGGGTTCCCTCATCCATCCCCAGTGGGTGCTGACCGCTGCCCACTGTGTTGAACCGTAAGCGATTCACCTGGCTGCCTCCTGGTGGGGCAGGTGGGGGGGGGACAAGCGGTTGGGGGGCGCAATGTAATGTGGAGGGACAGTGTCCTGGGCCGTGGGCAGGAGACCCAGGGTCCAGGCTCCACCGGGCTCCGAGCCCTGGGAGGCATTCGTGCTGCTGGGGGACCAGCCACACACCCACACCATCCAGACTCCTTGAGAAGCTTCCGGTCCCCTCTCTCCTAGGGACACATCGGAGCCACAGAAATACAGGGTACAAACTGGACAAGTGAAGCTCTATGACCATGACCAGCTGTACAAGGTCGCTCAGATCATCCGCCACCCCAAGTTCAACATGACCCTGTCTGCTGCAGGGGGTGCGGACATCGCCCTGCTGAGACTGGAGGCCTCCGTGACGTTCTCGGAGAACGTCAGCCCCGTCCCTCTTGCTCCTGATTCATTGCTGCTCATCCCTGGAATGAAGTGCTGGGTGACTGGCTGGGGCACCTTTGGGGTACATGGTAAGATCAGGGACCTGGAGAGTGGACAAAGGACACACATGGGGTGAGTGGGGGCCACGTGGCAGACAGCCTTGATGGTGGGGGATGTGCCCAGGTCACAGATGGGCCGGCAGGATCGCTGGCTGCCTGCTCCCAGCCTGCCCCTGGAGGAGGCATTGTAAGAAGTTCTCATTTAAACCTTCACCATATCCCCGGCACTAGTGGTCATTTCTCAGTTTGCAATTGGGGAAGTCGAGGTAGAGAGTGACTCACTCATTCAGAACATGGGGGCTCTCAGAGGCAGCATTAGGACTTGCACCTGAAGCTACAACACCCATCTCTCCTCTTTCCCAGGGGGAAGGGCTTTCTAAGGGATTCCCCCACTTCCCCTTCCTGTCCCGTGGTTCTCAGGCTCTTCATCTGCAGGGTCTCTGCTTGCTCTGAGACTCACTTCGGGTGTGCTCAGGATCACACAGCCTCGTCATGGTCCCGGGAGGGGCTCCCTCCCTGTACCGGCTCCTGGGTGTCAGTGCTGAAAGCGTGTGTCATTGGCCGCCTTGGGGTATCGACCGACCCTCGAAATGTCAGGGGAAGTGTAAGCAGGACTTGGGTTCTCTGTTGTCCTCCTGCAGAGCTGAGCTTTCTCTCTGGGTCCTGCACACAGGATGAGAATGTGATGAGCCAAGTTCTCCTCTGGAATAACCCTCTGAATGGTGATTCTCAGACAGAACAGTGAGCATTGCTCTCCAGAAACGGAAGATCCCTCATTGCCAGTTCTGGCACGTTCTTTCACGGAGGTCTGGGCTCTGAGGGGGCTCCCACCTCCGGCATAGTCCCTGCTCTACTGATGTTACAACTCTTCTTCTTGGCAGTATAGGATGTGGCGACTCTTCTTGGTTGTTAAAATCTTTTAAAAAACCGACAGCACAACTCTCAGTTGTGACAGGCGGCTCCAGCGTGGCTTGTTGTTCCCTAGGTGGCTTTTTCTCTTATTTATTCAAGCTCCAGTCTTTAGTTTCATGGAATAACTTTTAGAACACACACACTGAGGCTCCTGTAATTCCCGTACTGTTTTCATCAAAGCTGCCATGTGATGCTTGGGTCTGTTGAACAGAACTGTGAGTCTGAGAGATAAGGCTCAAGGTTAGGTCACCTGGCAGATGACAGAGGGGACGAAGCCCCCCCCCCCGCTGTCCGCCCTCACTCAGCCCCTCCCACAGCACTGCTGCCCCCGGCTGAGCACCTGCAGGAGGCCGAGGTCCTTATCATGGGGAACCAGGCTTGTAAGGAGATGTATCTGCAGGATTCACCAGCCGGCAGCCAAAGCACCATCATCAAGGACGACATGCTGTGTGCCGGGAGGAAGGGGCGCAGCTCCTGCCAGGTGAGAGCCAGGCCTTGCCCTCTGCTCTCGGTTTCAGGGCCCAAAAGCCACGTTGCTGCGGGGCCAGCACAGCACCCTGTGGCCAATTGTGATCCCCTTCCACAGGGCGACGCCGGAGGCCCCCTGGTTTGTTACTGGTACAACACATGGCTCCAAGTTGGGGTGCTGAGCTGGGGCACGGCCTCCGGGCAGCATGACTATCCTTGGGTCTACACCCGAGTGATGACCTACTCATCCTGGATCCGCCAGCATGTCCCATTGGAGCCTTGATGGCCTCGTGCGGGTGAGGAGCCGGGGACCTGTCCTCAGGGTCACCCCTGTGGCTTCCCCCATTCAGTACCACCACCTCTTCTGTGCCCTGCTCCCAGCCCTGCGCCCAGCGCCCTGCGCCTCGTCCTGCCCTGATCTCGGGACTTAAGAGGCCGCTAGCAGCTCAGATGTTGGTGTCTCCCTACAGCGCGGGGGTTGGTGGGCATGCCAGGGACCATGCCTCTTGTTCACTGTTTGTCACCCCATTAAACTGTGTGAAAAGCAGCCACCCAAGTGTCTGGCCTGTATTTTATGGTGGGGACTTGCTGGTGGGGTCCCAAGGCTCTGGAGGGCTCAGGGCCAGCCTGGAACAATTGGGTCTGCAGGCAGATTGGGGTGGCTGGGGAGGCCGTGTGGTCACTTCCGATCCTGAGTGGGGGCTGTTTTCAGGAGGTACATTCTAGCCTCCCCACCAAGGATGAGACACATGTCCTGTCTCAGCACTCCTCCCCGGGTTTGCTCCTTTCCCTCATGTCCCCACCTGTACCATCAAATCCAGCCTCACCTCAGGGCAAGACATGCTCAGAGGGGCTCAGCACCCAGAAAAGGTGAGAGGTGCTTCTCCACTTGGGCCCCTGCACTTGTCCTTCCCTTCGGCTACCCCAGGATACCTGGACCATTGTCAGCTAGGGTGGGGACCCGGCAGAACCCTGGCCACATGAGGCCACGTAAATGCAAATTGATTAAGATTGAATTATGTGGAAAATTTACTTCCTCAATCTCATAAGCCACATGCATTGAACAGCAGATACAGAGCAGCCTACCATCCTGGAAAGTTCCACTGGGGAGCACTGGTCTTGAAGCTCAGAAAGTTGACCATGGGTGATGATAGACTCTAACAGTCGAGGTGGGTGGAGAGCTGACTGCTCCAGGCTCCACCCTGGGCCCCTGTGTTCACAGAGGGGACCACCTGGAGGGCCCTTGCTGGGCTGGTCAGGTGCCCCTTGGGCCGTCCCCACATGACTCTCCACCAGTGAATGGCTTGGAGGGAGGGCAGCTTCTCCCTGGCAGTGGCTACTGCATTAGACTCTACAGGTCTGCAACATTCCATTCTTAAAGAAAATTCTCTTGGCTGGCACTGGGTGGTTCCCGTTCAATCCAGTGGATTCTCATTGCCCAAGTTTAGGATCATTTGTTCATTCACTTTCTGAGTCAAAACCCCACTTGTGCTTCCTGTTCCTCCCAGCCCCCACTTTTGGTTTGTGGGACCCATCTCCCCAGGGGCTTGGTGGGAAGGGATTGGGACCAGGCAGTGGGGCCACGGAGAGGCCTTGTCTCGCCTGCTGGCTTCGCTCCTGGGGTGATCTCTTGATACGGCCACTGCAGGATGCCTTGAGGTATCACCTCATGTCCCCTGAGGCTTCCTGCTTGGGTGTGTCGGTCCTTGGTCAAGCTGTCCCATCCTATTTCCAGCACAGGCCCCTTTGCCATCGGGCCTCTTTGGACTCTCAGCTCCTGGACTCCGCAGGGCAGCCAGGGGCATGGAGTTGGGTCTCTGCTCTCCCCCGCCCCAAACTGAGACCCAAGGTTTGAGGTCTGAAGGGGAGGTTTTGGTTGGGAACACTGCTGTTTGATGTCTCAAATGAGTGCGGCCACCTCACAGCCATGTAGACATGCTCCAGTATTGTGAACAATGTTCACTCTGATATATATAGCAGATAATTCGCCCATTTTTAAAAAACCCTAAGAAATCCTTGCTGACTTTTGCAAAGTTGAACTTCCAGAGGTGGGAAATAGTGCAGGAACAGAGGGAGGGGCCCAGTGGTCATGGAGGGTGGGGGTCACTCAGGTCGTCTAGGAGAAGGTGACCCTAAGACCCCTGAGCAGGGCACAGTGATGCTGTGGTGCTGTGACAGCCACGTCCCCAAACCTCTACCACGTCCTCAGCCATGGGCTTGTGGCATCTGCCTGGTTAGCTCTCAGCATGCCCTCTTTGCCAGGACCCAATACTTTCCTTCTCTAGATCTCTAGTCTGGGCGGTATCTAATGCCTGGGTATGCAGGCACCCCCACTGCATCGGCTGGCCTGGAGCCAGGCAGCTTGGAACTCGCAAGCTGCCTCTGTGTCCTTGCTGGTCGCTCGCCTCTGCCCTCCCAGAACCTTCTTTTCTCCATTCGGCTCTTTCTAGCAGCCATGCAGTTGGTTTGCTTTCTCCCAGAATCCTTTGATGCTCCCCACCCTCTCCCTCCACCCAACCCAAGTCTCTTGTCCCACAGTAAAGAATCTCAAAGGACAGTGCCCTAGCAGGTCTCCCCCATAAGCCTCGGCCAAGATTCCAGAGACTTCCCAGAGCCAAAGCTTGCCGGGTTCCTGGGGAGGCCTGGGACACTCAATCTGCCCCTGCCCCAAGTTGGAACTCAGTGTCTCCAGGTTGGGGCCTCAGATTGGATTTCTGCTATCGAGGGGCCTGGTTGAGTAAGTGCAGAGAAGACGTGCTGAGGAAACCACAGAAATGCGTCTCTTCCCAGCTTTGGGCCTTTGGGGTGGTAGCACCCTCAGGTCACCACCCCCCACATCGTGATGGGGTCCTGTGGGCTGGAAGCAGGACACTGGGTCCTGAGATAGCCAGGCAGTGGATGCTGAGAGCAGAATGTCTCCAACACTCCCAGGGACTTTAGGGATGGTCTCTTATTGGCTGCAATCAGCCCACTGATGTCCTTCCCATAGACTGACATGTTCGTCTGTCAGACTGGACTGTCCATCTGTAAGACTCACTGACTTGTCCACTTTCTAACAGAGAAATCTTTGCCTTTAGTGTCAATGGCTCCCTCCCCAGTCACATGGGTCACCCACTCGGACGACCAAAGAGATGTGCAGGGAGCAGCAGGTCTGGGGAGCCTGAGGCTGGAGGAGGTGGGGGAAGTGAAGATGGAGGGGCTCCATGGTACAGCATGGAGTCTGAGGCATAGGCTCGTCTGTACACAGCACAGCGGGCAGCCATGAGCCCCTGGAGTCTCCCTGAAGCCCTGTCATCAGCTTTCTGGCTCCATGAACACCAGCTCAGGAGAGGGGGTGGGGCAAGTGGATGGTACACCGAGCAGGAGCGCTTATCATTGGGGTCTGGCTCTGCAGCCACCCGCCAATGGCAGGTGGCAAAGATGGCAGTCCTTGGACAAAGATGGGACTTGGAGAGCACTGAGTCTTCCCGCTACCAAACAGCCCGGTGTTAAACTCCACTCAGTTGCCTCTGTCTCTTTTTGTGTCTCTTTTTCTGTCTCTCTGTGCCTCTCCCTGTCTCTCCCTCTTATTGCATCTTTCCAGCTGCTTTTCTGGTTGCTTTTCCTTGCTCCGTTTCTTACACATCCGAGCTGCCAGGCAAATACACAGCTCTGACACTACCAAGCTCCTGAATTTCCTGCCTGAGACCTGGGGGCTGCAGTCTCACCTGCTCAGAAATGAACCTCTGACCCTGGGCCTCTCCTGTCTCCATGAGTTGGCACCCCCTTCCCCTGATCTCTGAGGCCACCAGCTCCATCCTTTGTCCCCTGAACCGCAGACCTGAGAGACTCGAACTCTGTTCAGGACCCTGTTTCCATTTCCTTAATCTAAGCTTCCACCCCTGTGCCATGTGGTTTACTGACCACAAGACGTAAGTGGGTGCTGCTGGAACCAGTCTCCTCTCGATTCTTCCTTCTCAGAGCTGCTGTGGCCGCTTCTACATGTGTTCTCTCCTATAAGGACATTAGAAAAGTGTATTACCTTCCAAGAAAAGTGTTAATGGGATTTTGGTTGACCAACTGATTCACACACACACACTACTGAGGGCCAGCTCTCTGCGAGGCATGGTTCTAGGTGCTGGAGATGCAACAGAGAATGAAATGGATGAAACGCCTGCTCTCCTGTTTATAGTTCAGCATGGAGAGAAACACCATAAACACAATGCACATGTACACATGTGCATGCATTTACACGTGTGCATAGATCTACATGCACGCACATGCAAAGCATGCCTACACACATGCACATGCTATACACACATGTATACTTAGGTGCACACACGTGTACACAAATACCAGAACATACACATGCTTTTATATGTACACAGAATATATGCATGTGAGTAGATGGATACATGCATGTGCTTGTGGCACATGCAGACACATATACGCACACATGTATGCGCAGGAGAAACAGGGCCCCCTCACTTACCTTCTCTGCTTCTCTTCCTCAGTGATCACCGCTAGACACTAGACACCAACATATGTACATGTGTGTATATGGGTGAAGGAGAAACTCCATGGAGTGACCGCCGCCTGACCTGCGAGCTGTTCCCTGGGCTAAAAGTGGGAGGTTGCTTCCCAAACCCCACTTGGAGATTGTCTGATTGTAATCAATGCTCGTTCTGACGTAAACCAGCACCTCTCCCTACCTCCCGCTACATGCTGGTTCCTGGAACAGGTCGTGTCCTGACCTGGTCCAGCATGTGAACTAATTTCCCGTACCTGGTAGCATCCACATACTAGTCCCGGGATTACCCTGCCTTATTCTATTTAATTCTCTGGTGCCTGTAGAGCAGCACCGATATCCATTTCATCTTGCAACTGCCCACAAAGGCATCTCCTGTGTAAGTGTCCCTTAATAAACTCCACTTGTTACCAGACGGGAGTGACAGCCTCTTTCACTCACACAGGTAGAGTTTTGGTTTCAGGGCCTTTCCTGGGTCTGCTTGTCATAGCAACATAGACCGTTGAGTGTACACACATGTGCAGGTGGCATGGAGGCCAGGGACATTGCCATAGAGATACTTCTCAGCTTGGGCAGCACTGCCCTTGTACAGCCTGCTGGAACCCTGGTCCTGTCCCCAGGAGACAGGCACATCCCCTATGGGGCCAAAGGGCTGTGGCCTACATTGCCTTCCTGAAGGGCTAAAGCTCATCAATGCTGGGAAACTGTCCCAGACCATCCAACAGTGACACGAAAGGCCTGTCAAGCTGATGTTGGCAGAGGAGCAAAGGAGGGGAGGGCTAGAGAGATGGGTCTCCTGGACTTGGGCCACATCTCTGTGCTGTCAGCTGTCACTGGTCCTGGGAGGAGGGGAATCCCACCTCCCTCATATGCTCCCCCCAGAAGAGGACTCCCCGATGTCCACTCCCTCTAGCCCAGAGATAGAGGGGCTCAGGAGGCCCGGGAGTAGAGAGCCTTGGAGTCCTGGCAAGGTAAGGGTGCTGTCCCCCTCCAAGGGGGACCTGTATGTGGCTCCCAGCCTCTCTATCCCTGAGCCCAGGGCCT